AAAAAAAAAAAGTTAAAGTGGAAACAAAGAAAAGAAAATCATGATTCAACTTGAAGTGCCACAACCTTTTTCCCCCAAAAAATGGTGTGATGTCGGACTGTTATATTGTGAAAAATGTTAACGTAATGTGTAAGAAATTGTAAATATGGCAAGAATCCATTCCTTGTAAATATGGGAAGGTTTGGTATCCCTATGATTGTGTAACTAGAAGTTGGAAGTTCTTTCTTTTCCTTTTCCGAGTTACTAGATGCTTCAGGGAATAACCAAGCACTTCATTCCCCAAATCTCTCATTCCTCCTTTCTTGACATAGTATCAAAGCCGATGGTTAGACAAAACGAGTAGGGAGATAGCGAATAGTTTGGAGTTGGTTGGTTGGAACACTTGGGCCCATTGGAGACGCATAAAAGCAGTCTGGTAATGTCCTTGATGGCCATAAAATTTTTCGAACAATGTAAGTAGCACATAACAAATCTCAAACCTGTTAACTTTCGTGGTGAGCTGGCCCGTCAGTCTTGGTGGTAGGCCATGCAGTGTATAGAAGATTTGTTAGGGGTATGAACAAAGTCCCATATTGACAGTTGAAGCTTGAAGGAAAAGAAGCTACATGTAAGATGTAGGGATATTTTTAAATTGTGTAGACCTTTGGGGGAAATCCTGCTAGCTTGGCCCAAAGCGAACAACTATGCCACGAGTGTCTTTGGGCTGGTATGAGGCCCACCAAACTAGTATTCACTTTATACTACCAAGTGAGTAGTCTAAGATGTTACCTTAGAGGTGGTTGGAACCACCCCNAAAAAAAAAAGGAAGGCATAAGTTAAGCACATAAGGACTTTGGTATAACGATGACTTGAGCTAAGAGAAAGAAGTGAGGATTCATATAGTCGAATCCCACTTGTTTGGGACTGAGGCGAAGTTGTTGTTACGTTAAGCGCATCAGGAATTAGCAGCTAAAATATCTTTGAAATAGAAGACGAACATGAAAAACTTTTCCCTTGTCAGAAGAGCTAATGCAGACATGGCAACAACTAACAAAGAACCAAAAAATGTACTGCCATTTTTGTTTTAAAGAAAAATCAACTCACTAGGATTAATCTGGATCTTGTAAGAATGAATATCAATGCCATCTATGGCAGAAAGTAAATTCGTGCAAGGCAAGTACCTTTCTCATAAAAAAGAAGACACCACATTGCTTCAATCGGATCACTAAATTGAATGTCCTATCAAAAGAATTTAAGCCAATGTAGACAATGTAGCTACTTATCCATGTAGGACTCTTTGAAAGAGTACTTCTTGCATCCAGAAGGATTTCTTTTTGTTCTCCAGATAATTAGAGTTCTAGCACTGGAGCTATTATATCCTTATTTCAGCTTGGAAAGGCACTGCAGTTACTTTATTTGATACTGAGATAGAACAACCAAGCCACTCAAGGTAAACCACAGAGTACTCTTCATTGCAGCGAGCAAACTGATCAAGCACTAGCCACTCTATTCCTGTTAGCCTCAGGCTACAACTCATGCCTATAATGTTGTCTGCAGTAGTTATTTTTAATTGTTGATTACAGTGCATGATGTCAATTCTGTGAATCTCAAAAAAGGGGCTTTTGACATGGAAATCCAGGAGATTGGTTATTTCAAAGTAAATGAAAATTCAGCAGAACTTAGACAACACAAAAATAAAGTTGAAGTTAATCCTTTACAGCACAAATTTTAAAATTGTTTGCCAGAGAACTTCACCATGTCTAGACTTGGGTAAGAGTAGCATGAGACACAGAACAGACAAATATGTTGGTGCAAAAAAAAAAAAAAGGTTTTAGCAATAAAAAACACACCTTTAGTCAATAACTGTAGTTTCAATAAATTGGAGAGAGTTTGCACTATCATTTGTGATAATCTTTTTTTTTGGGGACAAGTGCATTATCAGTTAATGATTCCTTCTTCTAAGCGATACTGCATGCATAATGAAAGCCAGATTCAAGAAGAATAGCAAAGATCCTACATTTTTCCCCAACCCCAACTCCTTTTCAGAACGAAAAAATGGGAAAAAGTTAAAAACTAGATAGAGGGTAATAAAGAAAGGAAGAGTTGTTTGCATAACTCTATTTCCCTGTCAAGAAAACCAACAAATAAGTATTCTGATTTAATAAGTGTAAGTTAACTGCTGTGTTTTGTTGACATCTCTTCAACAACAACTAAACTAGCAGAGGATATCTCTTCACAAATACTCTCAACTTAATTTACTTGGTCTTGTCCTTTTCCTTTTTAGCTTTTACCAAATTCTTCAGCATCCATTATGCTGTCCAAAACGAACAAAAACATATCCATCATATAAAATATATAACTTCGACTTCTGAGGGGAAAATGGGCACGTAACACTGAATTTATATTATTCCTGATAGTAATTTAGTACAGTAACATTTATTTTCTGATAAAACTGCTCAGAGTTGAATTTTTACACCTGCTCCATCATTCAACCCTTTTCTACGGATATTATTACTTCAACGTGAGTATATCTGCGCCAGTGACAATGCAACTTCTCCTAAACTTTTTTTTTTGAGATGGAATGCAACTTCTCCTAAACTTGGAGTTATTCTTCTCTTTTTCCCCTGTTTTCTCTAACGAACCATGCAATATAATTGTTATCTTGTAACTAAATTTGTTAGAATGCTCAATGAACTAACCCAAAAACATAGATAGGCCAATTTTCGAAGAGGAAAGCCTCCATTGTGTTAACCGCAGCAATTTAAACATACCATTTCTTTGACCAGTAACTTGGCTTCAAAACACTAATTTACATCATCTTTTCTCCATCCACATTTTCACGCTCAGCGACAAAACACATGTTTTTGAGTGAAGCACAAACCCAAACACCACCTTACCACAGCCTCCTCAAACCAACAAAAGTTAATTCCTGGAAACTCTAACACACCGTATAGCCATGATCATATCTAGAACTTTCGAACTTTATTAATCCTGCAGTTGTAGTCATACTAAAATTATTGGAGTACGCTATATCTCCCAAAGTTAGTCTCCTATTGCTTCCCAAGTAAAATGAAAGAAATATTTCTTTTCAAATGCAATACGCATTAACTTTTCTTTCAATGAAGAATGTATGACAGTCATTTTGAAACAGAAAAAAAGCTCTACGAACATATACGTCTAGTACTTTTTACATTTTTTCTGAATATTTAAATTTGTTTTTCAGAAAAGCAAATCATGGTTTAAGAAGACTGATTCTTGATTAGGTAGTAATCCTAGTATTTTTTTCAAGCCATTAGTTCCTGCTGAATCCTCCACAAGAAGCAGAAGATTGCACTGAACATCTAAAACAAAATCAAACACATATCACATTCAACCACAGCATAGTGGAATTCTCAGCTTTCAAGTAGCTTTTGGATGTTATATTAGGGAAGAAAAACTGAAAGAGACACCTTAACTAGACAAAAGATAAATATTATATAAATCCTCTTGCACCAATGAATTAGTAAACACCAAATTAACAAATCCATCATAGTCAACTCTCCAAATAAACCAATAAGCAAACTCCACAGAGGCACAGGACCACAACTTCATAAGCACAAGAAACAAATAGCAAGCAATAGTTTAATATTTCAATCATATGCATGCAGCTATATATATATATACTAACTAGGGGCATATTTTTTTTTTATTTATGAATGTGGTGTTTGAGCCTGTTTGCGTACACCTCGACTATGTTACAAGATACCTGCTAACTCTTGGCTACACAGGTAGCTCGTCTGTCCACCAAGGCGAAATCAGCTAGTGTTTTTGGCCTCTGGGACAGTAATATTTTTTTTTTAAAAAAAATGAAATTTTATAGTAGTAATTAATAAGGTCTGACCTGCTACACTGTTGACAAAATCTTTGTTCAAGACCAGCAACAATGACCACAGGAGACTTAGAATGTGTAGCACAGACTTTGTGCCTTGAATAATAAGCCTTAACATCACTCAGATCTGCTTCACACCCTTCAACTTGACACCTAGATGGCTGTCGACCTTGAACCACACCACCCCCTCTTCCTTTCTTGGACGTCGTCGGCGCCGGAGTTCCGGTGACCGGAGATGAAGACGACCCAGTTGCTGATTTGGGGTGGTGAGGTCCAACATGTTCAAAGTAGATTTTTTGACCAAATTTTAAAGTGTTAGGAGGAGAGTCAGGGGAAGTAGAAGTAGTAGAAGTAGAAGAAGAAGCAGAAGCCAGAAGTTCCATTTCCGACTTACTGAGCCCATTCATTACAACCTTCTTTGAGTCAAATCATTGATAAATAAAAATAGGTGCCCCCCCATTCAGTTTGAAGAGACCCTGTCACTTTATTTACATTTATGGTGAAGCAGAGTTGTGAAAGCCTTAAAAAAAGAATTCTTTAATAAAAAACTTTTTTTTGTGATTATCTTATGTCCAAATATATGTGTGAATACTTTTTTTATTTTTTATTTTTTATTTTATGTGTGAATTGGGACTTGGGAGTATCTAGATTAAAGAAAAAGGGGGTTTAGTGGTAAGAGTTTAAGTTATAATATAAATATATAAAATGGTTTTTTTATTATTAGTGTTATTTAATTTTTATGTGACAAATAATTACATTATTTATCAGATTATGAACTTAGGTTTATACAAAAGGTTACTTGTTATTGTTGTTATAGGTTAAGCAAAGTATAAAACTTTATTTACGGTGCTCCCCATTATTTTTTTTTTTAAAAGTTATAAACACTATGTATGCGATTAATATATTTAACCTGTTAATTATAAGTAATTTGCTATAGTAAGTAGTGAGTTTATAAACTAAAAACTAATAATGTTAGTAACCTATCGCAATCAGAATAAATGTTTTCAGTTCAAAGGGATGATATTTAGTTATTTACACAACCAATTATTAAAGACAATCACAAGTAACTTTATATATTTGTTTAATAACACAAAAAAAATTGTACTATTAACCTATTATAACCGATTATTTTAGTATGCTAGTGTGAAATTTTAAATATTTTGTAAAATTAGTTGACATGTGTAAATTAATTCGGATACTACAATAAAAAAAAGAACAAAATATTCTGCATTCACGCAGAGCCAGAAGAAGAGTAGCAACCCAAAAGAATGTGATATTTTGATACAAACATCAGTTCAGTAACTGATTTCATAGTTCGAATACATAATTTATACGTTATACGAAGACAACCTTAACGTCGTTTCCTTTTCTTTTTTGTTTTTTTCATTGAAGAGGGTTTGTTACACAGTGTAAACAAGACAGCTGACAATGGGACATGGTTGTGAAGTACTCTGACCACTTAAAAGAGACTGTCAAATAATGGAGCTGAAGAATTGTGTGTGTGTGTGTGAGAGAGAGAGAGAGATTTTTCTTTTTTGGAGTTCTCATCAGCTTTACAACTCTGCTGCTTTTTTGGGGTTCATTTCCACTTGCAAACCCATACAAATACAGTAGTTTAGTAGTTTACATCTGTACACTTATTATAGAATAATCCCAAGTTTGAACTATGAAAGATTCTACTTCAAACTCCTAATATATATAAGTACTACTCACTACTTACAAATTATAGTTTCAAGAAAATTGTAGTCCGTACCAACTGCCACCCCCCCCCCCCCAAAAAAA